ATAGTCTGTAGTATAGTATTTAGTATATAGTATGTAGTATCTAGTATATAGTAAATATAGTATATATAGTATCTAGTATATAATATGGTTCTAGTTACTAGGAACACACGAAATCTGACAACATTTCTTTCTTAGAATAATTGGTCAGTAGAACCAGAAAAATAGGTATGGCATGGTCTTGCAGGATACTCGTGTAGATGAGATGGAGATATAGATTAGCTGTTAACACATTAATATTTAACTGTAACCAAAGGCATGGGGACTCCTTGTAAACCTAGAAGGAAGCTTCCAGAGACACAATTCACAGTTCAGCCAGTTGAACAGTCTGCTCTAATGTGCAGGTAGCATTTCTTTGGGAGGGCAGGCAAAGGTGCTAAATAATAGAATCAAACTCCAAAATGCATCATAGGAAGAATGAGCTAAATAAAGTAAAATGAAGCAGAGTAAATGTTGGGTCCCGCAATGACATCAGTATAGGAAGGGAAGACACAGCTTAATGGCAGCCTGTGATTAAGGGCTCAGGGGTTTCAGTGAAGAGCAAACTCACTGAGATTGAATAGCATGGCCACCAGAAAATAAATGCAAACTTGGACTACATCAGTGCAAGCAGGACATGCAAGGTAGAAAGAACATCCTACTCAATACAGGTCAAGTTGTAGGAGAACGCTTCAGTGCCCTGCCCAACTTTGACAAGTATTGTTCAGCTAGTAACTGAAATATTTCTATGTTCTGCAGACCACCAAGGGAATAGAATTTAAATAAAGTAGGTGGAATTAAATTTCAATTCTATAGGTAAAAAGACACGTTCTGGTAGTCAAAAGTATCAGAAAGGTGGAACTCTCCACCCCTTCCTGTCAATGTTCAGTTATTGCTGGAAGACCACTGGCCGAGTATATAAAGGGACCCAAGCATCAAAGAAGGTCAATGGGCCTTGCAAAAGGAGAAAGTATCTGGGTATGGGGGTGGGGGGTGGGGTACATGTGCACAAGGGTGTGACGGGGGAACACACACACAGGAGTATATGGGATGGGTACAAGCACACGTGTAAAGGTAATTTTAACAAATGCCTTCTCTCAATGGGGAGAACTTGCCTTTACTCTGTCTGAAAGCATGCATGTTCTTCTTTGGCGGGATTGAAGGAAGGATGTCAATATATCTTGATGAAATGCATTGACAGTAGATAGTAACTGCTGTTGTTAATTCTCAATGCAGCAAAATCAAATAGTGACAAATATGACACACACTAATATTTGCTTTTGTTGTTGCTTTTTAGTTTTACAGGTAGATGAAAACTAAACGAGGAACATCTTAACCATAAGGCCCTTTCTGGTACAGAGACACTATGACTAGACTCAACTTTTCTCAACTGCTCCTTTTCTTCTTTCCTATTACGGAACTTGGCTAATGTTATAGAGAAAGGGAAAAAAAGGAACAAGGAATTGGGTTACACTAAATATGAAATCTCTCAAGAAACAGAACCTCTATTGTGGATCAGATCTGGCTCCCTGAAACCACTCTTTGCAACCAAAGTTTATGAACCAAGTTCAGAAAGTATCAAAATAATTTATCTCAAGTTTAAAACATTTAAATTCCCATCATACTCTTATCTTTCCTTTAAAAGGAGTCACAACTAAAAGTGACTGGAACAGAAAGGCAACTTCTGAATCACTGATTTCAAGGTAAACCAAGTAAGCTACAACTTTTATGAATGTTCACATACAAACTTACTGTTAGCCAAAGAAAGAAAAGACACAATCATGAAAAAAATGTATATTAACTCAATCAGTAGTCAGTCATTTTCACTACTCTGATACGTTTATTTATTTATTTTTTTCATTTTTATTGATTTTAGAGAGAGAAACATAGATGTGAGAGAGAAACACTGATCAGTCGCCTCCCACATGTGCCCTGACCAGGGACTGAACCCACAATCCGGACATGTGCCCTGACCAGGAACTGAACCCATTACCTTTTGGTGTACTGGACGACGTTCTAACCAACTGAGCCGCACCAGCCAGCGCACTAATACATTGATTTTAAATATTAAAGAAACCTAAAATTTTGGTGCTGAAAGAGACCATATAAATACTTTATCCAAACGTATTTGCAACAGGCATTAGAGTCAGGAAACTGGAGTTTCTTGTCCCCCCTTGCCCTTCTAGTCTGTCACCCTGCAGAGGAATTAGGTACATAAATAGAAGTAGAAAACCTGGACTGTGTCCCTGTATTCTTTAGGACTTAACTGCATATTTCATTCATTTTCAAAACAGAAAAAAAAACACCTTTGCTTTTCAGTTAACAACAACTCTAAATTTTCTTCAAATTCAGCATGTCTACGAAAGGATTTGTAATCCTAAATCGCCATCATGAGTAGATGATGAGTTCAAAGACTCAATGTCTTCACCAGTCTAAAAACAAGCAAACAAAAAACAATCTTGCATTTACCATTATGTCTGGGGGAGCAGGAAGGTATACCCACTTAAACACATAGTTCTTTGCAAAGTATGCAGTAAATGTGCAACCCCTGAACTACTTTTGATGACCAACCACAGCACTTTTTAAACCAGTTTCAATTGCCAGACAACTGCCCTTTCAGGGCAGCTCACTAGTATTTCCTCACTTTCAAGAAGAGATAGATTTTCAAAATTAGTAACCCACTACCTCTTTGCCCCAGGTTAAAAGATCCCCCAAGGTGGACAGGTGTTTTACTGAGCTCAGATATCAAAACTCTTCAAAATACCATTTCAGTCCTGGGGGTTGAGTGGTGTGGTGGGGGACTTACAAACCCACATTACACAGCTCAGTGCCAAATCGTGCTGCTCTGATAATTCCCCTATTACTTTCCATAAAAGTAAAGCTCTCTAAGAAGGACTAAAGTTTAAAAACAAACAAACCATTTGATAAAAAATATGCACTTAGACCAGCTGGAGAAAATCGGCAGCTTCGCCTCAATACCTGCAATTTATCTCTTGCTTTCTTTTCCGGACCAAATGCTTACACTGCTTCTTATCCAAGTTCACTTCACCCCATCTATAGGTAGCATGTGGGTACTGATAAAAGCTGTTTCTGATTTCATTTCCTATTTCCCAGATGTTTGCTACAGAGTTTTTTTTTTCCTTCAGCTGTTTCTGAATACCGCTCTGATTTAGAACAAACAAATTCAACATGTTATAGTTTAAGCTGAGCAAGACACACAATAAATGACAGCTATAAAGATAATTTCAAGGTATTTCTCGGCTTACTAAATAAGTTTGCCTACCTAGGCAAGATTTGAACAAGCTGCTATGGTCTTGCTTTAGGAAAAAAGTACTTAAACACAGAACACAGAAGCCGCTGCTGCTGCTGCTGCTGAAATGACCCACTGCAGGCTGCTGTACTTCACATAGAATGGGCTGTTTTTAAAAGTGAAACGCCCAATATCAATTATCAATTGGGGAAAAACAAAGATGTTCCTAACATAATCCTTGGTATAAACCGTGCATATATACTTCAACTACACCTCTTCCTCAAATGCATCAATGGAAATTTTAGCCAGAATCAATGCTATTTGTATCCAAAACTCAAGAAAGACTGTACTTCCCCATGAATAAATTATTTTATACCTTCCCAATCAAGTAGTGAAATACAAAATTGAGTGGTAAAAATCGTTAAGTAGAAATATTGTCTGAATAGAACTACAAATCTCACTGGAGAACTTTGAATTCTCCAAATAAGTCAAAACATAAAACAGACATCCTTAAATCTGTGGCCAGAAACTAACCAAGTTGTCTCTTAAAATTCATCTATAGGAACGCAGAAATAATAGACCACCGTTTGATATCTAAAGAAACATCGGTGTTATAGGTAAGTAACAGTGTTGGAGGTTTTTCCCCTCCCATTACTAATTGTAAAACTGAAAAAAAATTAAAACCTGATCGCAGATAGGCAAGCCCAGTTTACTAAATGCCTGTCATAAGAAAGCCATCTAGTGTTAACATTTAGAAATGAAAACTGCAGACAAAAGAGGCAAAGAAAAGACATATCTGAGTGACTATTTCGAACTTACTGAGCAAACCTATGAGAATCACCAAGGTTCTTTGTTTTTTGTGCGTTTTTTTAAAGCCACCCTTATCAAAACCAAGTCTAAGTCTAAGCAAAACCCCAAATCTCTACAATTTTATTTTGACCAAAACACTGTTCGGTGGCCACGATTTTGTGACCAGTGCACTTGATGTTTCCAGTACGCACGCTGGAGTCATCTTCTGCTGAATTAATTTAACTGAAGCAGGTTAATGATGACAAATATCTCCCAGAGGGGTAATGCCAACTTGTTTTCCTTCCGGAGAAGCCTCGGCTCTCGCTCCTAGATGAAGAACCGAAATTGAATCTTCGGGTTTGCCGCTCGGCGGAAAATTCATTGTAGGTGCCCGTGGGGATACTCCCAGGACACGATCAAACTCGCTTTAATAACGTGGGGACCCAAATGGGACCGGGAGCGGAGGACGCGGCGAACCTCGGCGCCTGGGCGGCGGCAGAGCCTCGGACTCCGAAGGAAGGTCACGCGGAGTCAGAGGGTCGCCGGCCGCTCTGGGTCCTACAAAGGGGCGCGGGGGCGCGGCGGGGGCTCCGGCACCACCTCCCCGGGAATCACCCGCGGCAAGTTCGGCAACAACCCGGTCCGAAGCGCCGGTGCAACGCGTCAGGCAACCTTTCCTCCTTCCTAGGACGTCAGTCACGGAGGAGTCGCCGGGCGCCCGGAGGACGCAGAGTCTCATTAGTGTCACCAAGGCAGAAATAACCTTTCAGCCCCTCGACAACTTTGAGAGAAGCGGCGGCGGCTCCGCGTCCACCCGGTTGGAGAGCGCGGGCGCATCGGGAGCCGGACCCCAGCGCCCGCGCCCCCCCGCGCCCCAAGGCGCCCGCCGTCAGCCCCCGAGGCGCCCCCTTCACCGCGGGGCAGTCCCCGCGAGCCCGTCCCCAGACACACCCGCAGGCTCCAGTCCTCGAGCTCCGACACGCACCTCAGAGACGCGATCCGCCGGCACCGACTACAGCCCGCGAGCGAGCGCGCGGCGCCTACCGGGGCCGCAGCCTGGCCGCCCGCCGCCCCGCTCTGCCCATCGGCCCGGACTCTGCCCGCGCCGGGCTCTGGCAGGAGGCAGCCGGACCCGCCGGCTGCGCTGAGCGGTCGGTCTGCGCTCGGGCGGGCGGGCGGCCGGGGAGGGCGCGCGGCGCTGCTCCTCCTCCTCCGCCGCCGCCGTCCGCCGTCTTCCTCGCGCTCCGCCGGCTCTTCCCGGGATCCGTGTCTGCCGCGCCGGCTCCCGACGCCGCCGCCCGCCGGCCCGGAGGCACCGCCCCCCGCCCGCGCCGAGGCCTCTCATTGGCCGCAGCCTGCAGGCCCCCTCGGCCCCGCCCCGCGATTGGGCGCTGGCTCCGTCCGTCCCGCTGGCTCGCGGGCACCCGGCGCAGCCGGTGCGCTGTTCCCAGGCCCGGGTGCGCGGGAGCGGCGAGAACCTCGGGCCCCTTCCCAGAGAGGGGGCTGCAGTCTCAGGCGGGCGCAGCAGCCCACCTGGGCCTGCCCACCGGGAGAGTCGTCGCCTCATTCGCCTCCCTGGCAGGGAGAAGTGAACCCGAAGCTGGCCCCGAGCCGCCCCCTGCGCAGTCGCGACCCCGGCCTCCACTCTGAAGTTGGGAAAATCACACCCTCCTGGCGCTCGGGTCCCCGCGCCGCGAAGCCCTGAGTGTCGCCAGCTGACGAGACAGGCAGCCGCGGGCACTGCGCGGGTAGCTGCCACGGGCGCCGCAGAGTCACCCAGACGGCGACCGCACGAACGACCGCCTCGCGTGTTCACCAGAAGACGGCAGGGGGGCAGCCCCTACTGTGTGCCAGCCCCGAGGACCGGCCGGGGACGCTCGCGGACCTCCGGGCGGCGCCCCTGCGCACGGTGCCCGGCTGGGAGGTTGCACAGAGAAACGCATAAATAAATAAAACGTTAGAATGAGATTCGTTTGGTGGCCAGGCTCAGAAACGCTAGGGAGACAAGACCTTTCGGAGTCAGGAGAGAGGCTGGGAGAGGCACCCAGTCCCGGCGCCCTGGCCCAGCCCCGGCCTCCAGGCAGGCCTCAACCTCAGGAAGAATGCTCTTGGATCTTTTTATCCGGACGAGGAGGAAATGAACGTTTTATACTCATCGTCTCTATTTTCCTAGAAGATGTCGATCACCCAGGAGGAAGCCTTACTTGAAACTATTCATGTAAATTGTTGCACACGTGAATTGGCTGCTGAAAGATTAAAGGATCTCTGGAGACTCTTGTAAGCTAGACTGGAGTTGGCTCTGCCTAAATGGTGCAGTGGGGGTCACAGCCTACCGGCAGGAATAGACTATTGTAAGTAGGCTCTCACTTACCTTCCAGCCCCACCTTAGGGGGTCCCGAGCTGGGTGTACTGTGAAGTGCCAGAGCTGTACCCGCTGAGCTTCCTGAGACTGGATTCAGGGTTTTCAGTTCCTCCCTTTCTAGAGGCAGAATTCTTCCTGGAGAGATAATGTGGGTACTTCCCGGTCACAAACACGCCCTAGAACATAACCCTGTGAAACGTTAGAGGCGGTCCCTCCCATACTGTATTTCTCCGAGATGTAAAGCCTGCACAGATTGTAGTCTTTTTTATCTCTTCGTAGAATGTGGTTATAGTATATGCGAACGGGTACAACAAAACCTGACCTGGAAAATTCCTGCATTCTCCAGGTTCGGATGGGCTTCCCAACTGTCATTCTCAGCATTGACAAGATTTTCACTTTATTTGTTCCACAGTTATGGAGACTCTGTGATGTTCCAGAAAGCGCTCAGTGCAGGGATATAAAACTGCACAGGACATAGGCCCTGCTCTCCAGGAGGTCACTACAGGTTAGAACAAAATCCCACAGGGGCAGCCATGGAGGGACATACTTCCCTTCATAGCACATTATCACAGCACTTCTCACACTTCCCGTAATTGCAGGTGTCATTGTCTTTCCCACTGTTCTTTCACAAGGGTCACAACAAAAGAACCACAACTCCCCAGGGTTTTGACTCCTAAGGCAGTGACTGCCTGAGTCAATGGGTTGTCCCTAAAGCGGCTGTTGCTGCCGCAGCTACAATTGTCCATTGTCTGATAAGCACATTTGGTGTGTTCCTTAATGTTCCATACATAATGATCTTATAAGGAAGTCCGGCCAGACTCTCCATGATGATGTTAGCAATGGTTCTCTTCCTCTCCCTCCTTACCACTCTCTTCTTGGGTTTTGCAAACTAAAATCGAAATATTCCAAGTTCTCTGGCTACTATCAAAGTTGGCAGCATTTTTTTAAAGGCCATGAGAGTTTCTGACTTTCCCAGAACCCAGGTCACGTGCATCCCTCCCTCCTCAGAATGTTCCGGGCCTCAGCAAACATACTGAGCCCCTCTGTGTTGCCTGGACAATGCTGGACAATGGGCATGTGGCCCAGAGTGAGACTCATAGGGTGTCCGCCTTGTGGCAGACCGTGAGATTTCAGCAAAGTTTAGGAATGATACTGGATCTTCCTTATCAAATAAAATATTCTAGAAATACTGTTAGATGTAATCTTGCTCCCTTCCTCGCTCGCCTTCTCAGGGAAGGGTAAACAGGGTGGAGACTGGAGTTGCTTCAACTGTTTATCATTTTGGCCTTGGGTATCTTACTGGGGGGGGGGGGGGGGGATTCTTTTATTAAGGCTATACCTTTTGCCAAAGTTTTAAATATCAACTCTGAAGTGTGAAATTGTTTTCGCCTAAGAGCTAGAGTGAATAGGCCTGTGTCTGTTTCTCACTTTCACCTCTCCTCCGGTCAAGATGTCCTTTCCTCTTGCTCTCGAAGCCTCGCTTTCAGTTTCTGAACAGTCATTTTCCGCCTATGAATTTCATCATGCCCTATGGGTTTCTAAAAAAAAAAACAAACTCAAGGGGTTAATTAATTCTCTCTACAACTCCGAGTCAGCACATCAACTCCTGAAATAACTCCAACATTAGTCTTACCTATTTTTTCCCTAAAAGGTGTGGAGGCGGAGTTCAAAGACATACCAGCTGTCTACCCTGTTCCAAGATTTTGAGTTTGTTGGCTGACCTCGGTGGGTAGTTGTGTCTGTTTACCTTCGAATTTAGCAAAACTGGAATTTTATTTCCTTGACACCCCTTAGCAGGTCTGCTGATGACATGCACACACTGGAATGAACCTGAGTGAGGGTTTATCTAAGTGAGGGTTTAGATTTCTGCCTCATTTCCTTCTCTTTTTCTACTTCCAGCCCTCTTTTTAAAAGTATGTCTTTTAAGTCAAATGGATATTTATAATTTGCAACAAATATGCATTGATTGCATATCATGTCCAGGGCATGATGTTAGGCTCAAAGGACCCAGAAGGCTCTCCACCAGATTGTATGCATTTCATAAGGAGCAGAACTTCAGAGGAGGTGCCCAGGACCACCAATCAGTAGTGCCCATAGGGAGGGCAGGAAAGCCAGTGTCAGCAGGCAAAGGTTGACACACTCAGGGAGGCTGCACCTAGGATCTCAAACCTGCCTAGCAAGGAGAAAAGAACAGAGCTGGCAAGAGGAAGCACAGTGGACAAAGGTGCAGGAACCATCGGTGCCCTTTGGCCAAACATAGGCTTATTCACTAATACAGCCAACACTTACATGGTGCTGTGAACATGTCTGCCCTGTTTTCTTCTTAGGGGACAAGCGTCCCTCGTGGATGAGCCCATGGGCCCTGCTTCATCTTTCTTTCAGAATGGAAACCTCTCACAACAGAAGCTTGTTAGGATATGGTCTTGTAACGTAAAACAAGAAGTGTTAAGTTTTGCTGCAGTTCTGAAAAATGGTTAAGCTGCAGCTGAGAGAGCTGGGTTACTGACTCTGGTATACCAGTAGTCCTGATAGAAATGAAGCCCGTTCCCCTTCAAGTGGAATCCAGTAGTATCATGAAGGAGTTATTAAATCATGTGTTAAATATCACATACTCTGCATAGGAACCTAGGAAGAAACTGATCTAATAAAGAAATCAGCTCTGCAATTATATTCGCAGGACCACTGAGGGCTCAGTTTTGCTCAGAGGATGCAGATTATTACATATAAGTAACGAGACCCTCTTCTATTTTTTTTCTGTTTTGTGCCAGAGGAGATTCATATCTGAATCCTCCAAGTTTTATCCCTACTTGGTACTTACAGTATTCTTTAACCAGTGTTTTTGGTTCTACTTTTAAGAAATAAAACAAAGTAAGTACAGTACAGCTGAGCTGAAATTTTTACATAGGAGACAATTCTAGGAACAGTGGAAAGTAATACATTAAAAGTTTAATTTTGTACAGATATGTTCCATGGAAATCTGGAAAGGCAGTATTGATGGAGCGATCAGAGATCAGTGACAAATATTCCTCAGAAGGGAAAGGTTTCTTATTTTCCTAATGGTTGGTCTTTGCTGTAATGTGCCCAATTCAGTGTCTCTCCAAAGATCTTCCAAGACAGATGGGTTATTTATTTTCCTTTTTTTAGTCTTCACCCAAGGATATGTTTCCATTGATTTCCAGAAAGAGGAAGGGAGAGAAAGAGATAGAGAGAGAGAGACATCAATCAGTTGCCTCCCATATACACCCCAACCAGGGATCAAACTCACAACCCACATATGTGCCATGACTGGGAATCGAACCTGCAAACTTTTTGTTTTTTTTTTAAATAATTTTTGTTACAGATGTTTCTCCTTTTTCCCTTGAACCTGCAAACTTTTGATGCACAGGATAATGCTATAACCAACTGAACCACACCAGCCAGGGCCAGATGGGTTATTTCTTTTCTGGTGGTTCAAACCCTTGGCTATAGCTATTCACATCTTCTACCTCTTATCTTCTCCAGTCCAGACCCATAGTTAAATGACTTGCACAAACGTTGTCACTCTTACCGCTGTCTTTAAATACATGACTATAGACGAGTAACACCTCAAAGTTTCATTTTCCTTCTCTGAAAAACAGGGATTTCCTTCCTCAGAGGGCTATGGTGATGATTCCTCATGGTTTGGCCTGAAGTGCTTAGTACAGTGCG